TAATTTCCTTTTTGATTTTCTCAATTCTTGGTTGTACTTGTCTAAGGCTGTTCTGTAACCAGCCCAGTTACCGTTAGTTTTTGCCTTGTTGAACAGTTTTCTGGCATCTTGTTTCAGACGTCTCAGCTGCCTGTTCCACCAAGACACATCTCTGGACTGCCTTCTGTTTCACGGGACAGCTGTTCTCATAGGAATTTTTTCTTGCGTTTATTAGATTGTTAGGATGATGCCTCTAGCTCTTCTATTGTGTTTATCGTCAGAAGGAAGTTCATCTAGACTAGACTCAGGCAGAGACTTTCCACATAGTTGGCGAGTTTTGGGATTCTCGTCTGTACTGAGTGGTTTATTGCAGCCTCTAGGTCGAACCTTATTGCTTTTTGTTTTAGGTTCAATTGAATATTGTTTTTGCCAGTTTTTCATGGCTGGTTCCTTTCTTACATTTAATACTACTTCTTTTTCTTGTGCCTACTTGATCTGTTTCTCTCTTTTCCACTTCTTTATTGGTATTTTTCCTATATTCATGTATCAGGTGATTGTCTATATTTCGCACCCACATCTATCTCACCTGTTTGAAGAGATACCCAGAAATGTCAAGTGTGAAAGTTGTAGGTAATATCAGAAAGTTTTCAATGATGTTAGTTACAAGTATACAGGGTGTATCACAAAAGTGTGACGAAGCAAAGTTATAGTTTTTCAAATGGAAAACTCCATATATTATTGTCCCATTGGATTAGCCTTTCAAATCTGAATCCAAATATACTAAGTTTTTTTAGGTTTATTTCTTATAGTCCAGGAGAAAATAGGACAAGAAGAGGTGGAATAATTGCATTTTTATTTCAAAATGGTATATTCAGAGGCTGGACTATGAGGATAAACCTGAAAAAGCTAGTTTATTTGGAATCAGGATTAAAAGGCTAATCCAATGGGACAATAATATATGGGGTTTTCCATTCAAAAAAGTATAACTTTTCTTCGCCAAACTTTTGTGACACACCCTGTACACTTGTAACTAACATCGTTCTGATATTACCTACAACTTTTACACTTGACATTTTTGGGTATCTCTTCAAACAGGTGAGATAAATGTAGGTGCAAAATATAGACAATCAGCCGGTACAGGCTCTTCGACACATTTCTTTTGCAGAGTTGGGAGGGCTGGTTTAAGTGCCTATCTTCTGAATGTCATTACTGTCAACGTCTGGCCCGTTGTTTGATCTTTTATCAAGAGCTTGATTCGAGTAGTTTTAGTTTTTCTAACTTTCGTTCAGAATAGATTTTCACGATGCATCACTAATTGATTGTAAAGATTTCTATAAAAGCTTTCAAAAGTTTCTGTGATTTTTTGCTGACAACTTTTCCTTGGGTCATTCTTTATTATTCTGTATATGGATATGGCCAATGATTTTTGATTGATTTGATCAAGAAATCTCATTTAATTATGTAGAGCCGATTCTGATAACTTGATGCTTGATATTATAGTTTCTTCAACCATCTTGGCTGCTTTTAGATATACTGACAATTTAGGGTTTTTCACCTAACAAAAATTTGTACACCGATTAACAGTACTAACTGAGATATTTCCATGTATTAACAGATATTTCTATGCACCTAATACCAAGTTATTGCCAACTAGTTCCATGTATTAACAAAATATTTTCACATAAGTATTGCCAGGTATTTCCCTAGTATTATCACATATTACCAGATATTGCCATGCTATTGACAGACTGAAATCAAATATTTGTCTTGCCAGAATTCTAGGTATTGACATATCCACAGGGTATTTACATGTTATTAATGGGTATCAACCAATGACATTAACATATATTGCCTAGATATCTGCAAGTATTGACATATATTACCTACATAATTAACAAGTAGGTATTGCATAGTATTTACACTAGTGACATTTTATTCACCTGGTATTGACATATATTAACCAGTGATTTGTACCGATAAACAAGGTGAAAAACCCCTCGAGCTAGGCATACGCATTGAATGAGGATATTTTCTATTTCTAGGAGCTAACTGGGTTTTTTTTTTTCAAAAGATTCTCATAATCTCATAATTGTTAAGATATTTCTCCAAATCTTCTCTATTGTATAAAATCTATACAATCAACTCAGTCTGGATGGGTTAATCCCTCAGATTAACAACTAAAAACGACAGATACAACAGTAAACAAACAATTCGCGATCCAACATCCATAAGGTCAATTTTCGCATGAAAAGCCTGGTTGCCAATAATCCGATGTGATTTTCAATATTAAATATTTTCAAGGATAATCATTATGTCAAAATATGTTTTAACATAATGTAAATGTTTTTTTTATATCAATCTTTGTTGAAATATAACTAAAACGCATTTTTGAAAAAAATAATTAGTCTTTTTTTAATTTAATTGGTGAAAATTCTGGAATAACTCGGAATATATGGCTCGAAAAACGGCACATCGACAACGTTGCATCTACGAGCAGCCAATCAGATGATTTTTTGTGACTCATGGCAGCCATAACGGATTTGGCAGTGTTGCTGAGAAGTGATAGAGCGAATTTTGTGATTTTGAGTGTTAATCAGTGGTATTTTTGGATTTAAAACTGTGGAAAGTGTGGCGGAGAATAGTAAAATGGTACATCGATGTATTATCTTTAATGATTCCAAGCAAATTTTAATATTTCGGCGGTAAGAAATTTGACATCATTTTACGCTCGACATTGGCGTAGATAGAGAATATTTATGGTAATTTATTATGAGTGGAAAAATTGAGAGGAAACTGAACAGGCCGCCACTGAAGAGTGTTGCCATTTTATAGGTCTATCTCTCTCTTACTAATGTCATGGACTAAAAGATGATTGATTGTAAACATTGGGCGATTTTTAAATGGCATGTTTGGTCTCTAGTTTTATTATTAGTCTGAGGTTAATCCTGTCATTTGTTTAAACTAAACTATATCTTAAATGATAAATTGGACATGACAACAAACTGAACAAACGTGAATTGCTTCCTTCTATTGGCTAAAAAATTTCCAATTAAAATTCAAAACCGCCTTTTTCTTAGGTGCAATAATAAGGCTAAGGCCTGGGTGTTACCTCAGAATTGAAAATTTTGCGTAACAAATTTTTGAAGTGTTAATGTTGTAAATGAATCGGTTTCAGAATTATTAATGCATGACTAACAGATTATATTCCAGACTTTTTTTTTTAAATTAAATTGTATTATAACTCTAATTTTATTCTAGTTATTCTGCGAACAACAGGCTACGTAAGCTAGCTCAAACAAAACAAAATTTGTGTGACGCTGAACTACCTTTTTCCGGGGCAAAGTAATACATATTTGAAGGATTTTTGTTTGATTCCAAAACGTTAAATATTGTTGCCAATTCCGACTTCGTATGATTATTTATTTTGAAAATTCAATGTTCAATTTTAATTGATCTAATTGGGCCCGAAAACGCGAAGGTTCCCATGAACGGGTTTTACTCCGGATGCCGTGGTTCACTTTCGGCCACCGAAAAAAAAGTTCAATAACGAGTTTGCGATGAATTTTTTCGACCTAACAATGCTCACGAGATTAATTATTTATCAATGAAACAATTGGCGAAAATTCCAGAAAACGGCCAATAATAAATTATTTTTTTTCGGGGGCAAGAGTTTTTAGCTTTGTACTTCAAGGCGAATTCCAAGGAATCATTAATTTTTTATATGCTGTTTTTTTTTAATTGAAACTATACTTTGGATTTTATTGAGGAACAGATCTTGACCTGATTTTTTACAATAAAATTATTCTCAGAGAAATCTTTTCGAAGCTTAAATTGCTTCTAAGAAATTTTTAACTGAGATTCTCAGATAACAGAGATAACGACTTTTGATTTGGAATTATTTTCCTAGGAATTTATCTATTTATTTATTTATTATTTATTTATTTATTTATTGACCCCATTAAATGTAACAATCTTACAGAATATATTATGTAGGTATACTAAACCCAATGTGATCAGCTATAATTATCAATACCTATAATAAAACCGAGATTAAAACAATTTAACACTGTCACCAGAAGAAGTGGGCCAACTGAAACCTAGAAAAATAGCTTCCTTCGGCAGAAGTCTTATGCTTCCTGCAGACAATTTAAGATGTAGAGTCACATACAAAATATCTGCAAAGGTAGCAGTGCTGAGCAGCTGGAAAGCTGAAACGACTCCCCCCACAATCTACAATCTATTGAAACAAAACCCAAATGATTTGAGAATTACTCTTGTGATAACACTTGCTCTTACTTATATGAAGTAGCACAAAACTTTCAGGAAAATAAGGAAGAAAAGTGATTAATTTCATCAAAGAAAGAGGCTTCAATTGTGTCTCCAATTGCTCATTTAGTTGTTTCAAATAAGAATAATTCATATACTTAATTGCCAAAATGGATTTGCAGAATAAGGCTTTATTACTGAAGATTTTAACACGAAACAACCCACTAGCTTTAAAAAAAAATACAGGTTGAAGAAAGCTCAGTCATTGAAAGAAGAATTAGTATGGATTGAAATGAGAATCATCAATCAAACATTTGATAAATCAATAATTGATTAATCTGTCCCTGATAATGAATAATGGCACAGAGGGTGTCTTTGATCAAAATAATCTAATAAATTGTGTAGCATTTTACTGTTTAAATAGTCTACTATACTGAATTTGTGCTGTAATCACAAAATCAACATTAAACTCTCGTTCAATAATCTGTACATTATCGTCACAAAGCTGAAAATACAATTGTTATTTGCTTGATTCCTAATAAAGCTTCAAGCATACTAATGAATAGTAATTTTGACGCACAGTGAATGTAACAATTTTCTATAATATGTCCCGTTAAGAAAGAAGCCGGAGCTACGTTTAAAATGGAATTCTTGCGCGATTTAAACTTTACTTTTACTTTTATTAACCTGTTGTATGGATGCATAGGAAAATAAAGAGTAATTGAAAAATTAGAAATCTTATTTTAAATACTTACGCCATTTTCATTTCCTAGGAACCTTATTCGTGGACTCTGAAAGTTGCATTTGTTCTGAAAAAAAAAAATAAAACGCATGAGTTAAGGTCGGCCATTAAACAAAACTAACCTTGACGTTTACAATAAATTAATGTTTTGTTATTAATTCGAAAACAATGTAAATTTGCCATCAAATAATAATAGTCCCAATTCAAAAAAAAGGTTCATAACCTTTATGCATGTTTATCTTAACCTTTCAGTTGTATATTGATATAAACTTGGAGATTTGTTGTTTAAAAAAATATATTGTTAACTGATAAGCAAAATTCGAAAAACATTTAATTATTATCAATTACTTATTATGAAAAATTGTTATAATTAAGTATTGTATCTAAGCAAATGAGTCAAGCAAGGGAACATGTAAATTACCAATTTTACTCGATTATTAAATTATTGTTTGTTTAGGACAAACGTGAGCAAAAATACTTAAATGTTAACAAGTGAGGATTAAAAAGATGTGTCCGAATATTTTACCTAATGAGGCTTAAAAGATTTTGAATGTCACGTTCTTTAAGAAAAAAATACATTTTGCCAAGAAAATTATTTCCCTTAAAAAGACGAATTTCAGATCATCGATCGATCCAGTTTTGGGATTCTTGTAATACAAATTACCATGAAATTTACTCAAAAAATGCCAACATAGGGTGGATTGCAGATAACATTCTAGTTTCCTTAATTTCTCCTGTGACCTCTTTGATTTTCCAAGTTTCCACAAACTTTCCTAGAACTATACCATTTCCAGCATTATTTCACACTAGTGAAATTTTATTTCAAATTAATGAAAACTAGATTCACATCAGTGAAATCTAATTTCGCTCAAATGAAAATTGATTTCAAAGTAACGAAAACTAATTTCTCACAAACGAAATTTGATTTCACATTTTTGAAAATGAATTTCAAACTGACCCTAATTAATACCCACTTATTTTTCAAACATTTATTATTTCAATTTGAAAAAAACATCAACAACGTTATTTATTTCAACCTAATCCTAATGAAATAAACCCACAGAGTTTAGAAAACTGTGGTTTAGATAACATAAAATACAATCATGAAACAATAATAATAATTATGAATTATTTAAATAAATTGAACTTCAGTGTGGCAAATCATGTGGAAAAGTATAATGCAGCTATCTCAAGAGTGAGAAGATGCAACTGAAGTTCAATTTATTTAAAGAATTTATAATTATTTTTGTTAACTTTTTCATGATTGTATTTTATCTTAGTGAAGTTCGTTTCCTATCGGTATCCAATGAAGGGGGTGATTCGTCGGTTAGGACAAAAAAAAATAATAATAAAAAATTTGTCTTTTTACAATTTTATCAATGCATTGTGATTTTGTTATGTGCAATTCAATGTTCCATCCTGAAAAATCTCGCACTATTTCATATAATTCTAGCCACATAATTTTTTTAAGTACAAGGCATGTAAACTACAGTTTTTTGTTAGCACTTTTTTGATGTTCCTAATATATATTTTAGCCCTGATGAAGCCCTAAACTTTTGGGCAAAACGTTGGCAAAGACTTAACAGGCTTTTTATGTTTTTTTTTTTTGTCCTAACCGACGAATCACTCCTTTCATAGTATTTTATGTTATCTGAACTCAGTGGGTTTATTTCATTACGGTGAAATAAATAACATTTGTTGATGTTTTTTTCAAATTAAAATAATAAATGTTTGAGAAATGGGTATTAAATAGGGTCAGTTTAGAATTCACTTTCAAAAATGTGAAATCAAATTTCGTTTTGTGAGAAATTAGTTTTCGTTACTTTGAAATCAATTTTCATTTGAGCGAAATTAGATTTCACTGATGTGAATTTAGTTTTCATTAGTTTGAAATCAAATTTCACTAGTGTGAAATAATTCTGGAAATGGTATAGTTGTTGGGTCAAAAAATTCAAAACTTCTAGCGATTGACTTGGAATTCTCATATGGGAAGGGTTTTCAAAGGTAACACACGGGGCTACAATTTCATTTATACATACAATAAGGTCAAAACGAGGCAGAAACCACCTGGGAAGATTTTGTTTGGGGAACTTTGGGAGAATATAAGGAAAGTAAGAAGATTTGGAGGAGTTTGGAGAAATCCGTGGACATATGAGAAATGTTTATCAAAAACAACGAAATGCTTCTCTCCTGGGTTTCAATTTTCTTCCGCAAAAGTTTCAAAGTTCGAAATACTATGAAAAAACTTGTCAACCGATTGTTACTCGAATAATTGCACATGGTTTTCCTACAGGTCAAACAGAAAATTGGCCACAAAAGACTGCAACATTGAAGGACCCCGCACCTCTTATGGGTATTTGCGAGGGGTGGTTAACTCCTTAAAATATGTACACAGATTTTAAATCTTCATTGATTTTGTAGGACTTTGAGGATTTTGAAAATCTTCACATGATTTTAGAGGATTTTAAAAGATTTTAGAGGATTTTAAAAGATTTTGGAGGATTTTAAAAGATTTTAGGAGATTTTGGAGCATTATAGGGAAGTTAGAAGGGTTTTTAGAGATCCTAAAGGACTTTTACCACTTCAACACTGAAATATCCTGGAATTCCACAAAATTTTCATAAAAATTTTCGGAATTTCATCGGAATTCCTCTGAAATTCTCTTTCAATAATCAGGAATTTTTGAAAATAGTAATGAAACTCCAAGTAATTTCTTGAAAATTCATCGAAATTCCTCCGAAATATATTGAAATTTCATATCATTACATGGGAATTTTCCCAAATTTCACCGAAATTCCAAGTTTTTAACCGGAAATTCCTCGGAATTCCACTTGTGAAATTTTCTCTGATTTTACTAAAATTCAGCAATTTGATGGGAATTTTTCGGAATTTCAATTTCACTGATATGCCATGTTTTTAACTGGGAATTTCTGGGAATAAAAATAAAACTTCATGTAATTACATTAGGATTTTTCGGAATTTCACTGGAATTCCTTATGAAACGATAGGAGTTGTTCAAAATTTCACTAAAATTTCATGTAATTCCCTGACAATCCCTTGAAATTCCATGCAATTGCATTTGAGTTCCATATAATTCGACGAAAATTCCTCGGAAATCATGTAATTTTTTGAAACTTTTTTAAAATTCTTTATGTAATTTAACGAGCACTGAAATTTCATGTTGGGAATATTAATGTAATTCAATGTAATTGTTTAGAATTCCTCCATGTAACTCATTCAGGATTTCATACGTAATTCGATCGAAATTCCACTGAAATTTCATGTAATTCGAGAGGAACTAAAATTTAATGTGAATTCTATGGAAGCTCTGCAAAAATTTCACATGTTATAGTTCACACCATAAATTACCATGGAAGTTCCTCAAAAATTTTAGTCAATTTCATGGAATTTCACCAAAAGATTTTATGGAATTCCTCAAAATTCCATTCGAATGGTAAATTTGAATGGAAAAACGGAAATTCCTAAAAATGTTACTATAAGATTTCATAATATTTTTCCAAATTTCACCATAAGATTTCATGGAATTCCACAATAAAATTCAATGGAATTCTTGAACAAAAATTCCTCGAAATTAAACTATAAAATTTCATGAAATTCTTTGGAATTCCACTAAAATTTTTAGTTATTCCATAGGAATTCTGTGAAAATTTCAAGTAATTCCTTAACATTTCACCAGAAGATTTTATGGAATTTTTAGACAAAATGTTTTTGGAATTACAGTACCTATAGGATTTCATGAAATTCCTCGGAATTCCACTAAAATTCCAATTTCAAAATTCCATATTTTTTTTTTTTAACTTTACTTACCTAATGAAATTCCCCAAAATTTCACCATTGAAATATCCTGGAATTCCACAAAATTTTCATAAAATTCTCAGAATTTCAGTGACATTTCATGTAATTTCTTAACTAACATTTTATGAGAATATTTTGAAATTCTACGTTGACAGCCGAAGATTTCTCGAAAGTCCAATAAAACTCCAAGGAATTTTTCAAAATTTCATTTATTTTCATAAGAATTATCGGAATTTCACTGAAATTTTCTTTTAATGGCCAGGAATTTCTGGGAATATTAATGAAACTTCAAATAATTTCTTGAAAATTCACCGAAATATATTGAAATTTCATGTCATTAAGTACATGGGAATTTTTCGGAATATCACCGAAATTCCATGTTTCTGGAATTTTACTAAAATTCAATAAAAACTGCAATTTCATGTTGGGAATTTCGGAGTAATTTCATAGACATAATTGTTAGGAATTCCTCCATGCAATCCATTTAGTATTTCGTGTAATTCGATCACTGAAATTTCATGTGAGAGGAACTAAAATTTAATGTGAATTCTATGGAAATTCCGCAAAAATTTTACATGTAATTCCTTCTTCAGAATAACAGATTTTTGGGGATTTCAAAGGATTTTTGGGAATTTCAAAGTAAATATTTTTTAGGAATTTTAAGGATTTATGAGATTTTGCAGGATTTTTTTGGTTTTAATGAAATTTTGTTAGATTTTGTAGGATTTTATGCAATTTCAAGAGATTTCGTGGGATTTTGTTAATTTTTTAAGGATTTTAAAGATTTTCAGGGATTTTGAGTAGATCTTATGAGATTTTCTGGTATTTTAACCAACTTGTACACAGATTTTGACCAGTTAACCATCCCTCGGGTATTTGGTTTTCTGTCAAACTCAATGAATTTTTGACAATGTGTTACACCTTGACTTCCTGATAAAAAGTTCTCATGGGCCCGAACCAATCCTATGATTAGTTTTTGAGATAGAGACACTTTAATGTCCAAGAAATGTACACATTTTATATGCATTTATCGTTAATACAACCTAATAATATACCAGGATGGACAGGTATCCTCACGCTCAGGTGACAGGTAGATGTTAATGCATATAAAATGTGTACAGTGAGAATCATTGCAATCGGCACATACGATACTCTTTTAACATCCCTCGTATTAAGTCAAAATTCTAACAATAAATCTATTCAGTCCAGCGGTGTACAAATATTTTTTTCCTTCGACAGTTTATCAAAACC